CACAGCGCTGGGTGGCCGGGAGCGCCGGCGAAAAGTGATGGTCTAATCCCATCTTTTGGCGCATCCCTAGAGATGCGCGGGGGGTCGAGAACTAAACCTCGGCAGAGGGGAGTGCGGAGGTGGAGCCGGAGGGATGGAGAAGCGCCGGGCAGAGGTGGCGAGGGGAGGTTGGTGTCCGTGGTCCATCCTCCGGATTAGGATGTGTCTTCTGCAGTCACGGCCCTGGAGGTGCCCAGTAGATGTAGGGGGAGAGCAGACTGCTGTCCCCGTGTCCCCTGAAAAACCGTGAGCGTATTTGTGTCAGAGAGAAGAGAAATCGGTGCTTGGTCTGTGATGGGGAGCAGCCCCGAGCGATGGGCTCAGCCCTTCACCCGACCCCGGGGTGACGTTGGGCTCCCGGTGCTGCCTCTCGCCCTGAGGAAACACCCAATTTCACCAAAAATGCAGCCAGAGGACGTGTCTGCTCCTTCCTTCTAACCCACGGGGCCTCCAGGTGTGATTTCTGATGGCGCGTGGGTCCCTCTTGATTTATTTTAAAAAGGAGAGGGGAAAAAAAAAAAAAAACAACCAAAACACCCAACCCAAAACTTACAGCACAACCACCAGAGCCGTCCATCATCTCGTCTCTCCCTCCTGCATCCCAATGTCCCTCCTGCCCCGCCGTCCTTGAAACCCTTTGTCCTTAAAAAGGCGGCGGGGAGGTCGCCGTGCCGAGGCTGAGCCCGTAACAGGTACTTCGTATGGTTAATTGCAGTGTCCCATTTTACTTGCCTTAAAGGTGGAGAGAGAAACTTAGTATTTGCACTTAGCAAAGCATTATATTAAAAGAGAGAAACCCTGTAAAGATGTGCATGTTCTGCAACTTTGTATAACGATAGCTGAAAATAAATAGGTGGTTTATTAAAAAAAAAAAAAAAAAAAAACAAAAAATATTTTTCTTTACCTTCTGGTAGTAAACTGTTCTAATATTCTGTGTGTAAAAAGTTCCTGTATTATATTGTAATTTGAATTTTTGTAAATAAATTTGTGCACTCTGGCCTTTACCTCTGTGCGTTCGTTAGAGCCGAAACCCCGTCTGTCCGTCCTTCCGTCCCGGCTGGGGCTGAGGACGGGCGGGAGCGGGCAGCACTGCGCTCCAGATCCCAGCCTGCGCGCTGGAAACCTCCGCGAGTCGCGAGGCAAAAACCCATTTGACCCTCCGGGAAACGCTTAATATGTTCCACGTGTTCCCGAGGAGAAAAGTGGATGGGAGAGAAAATGGTTTCCAGTCGCTCCTTTAAATGGAAACCGGGATGCGGGTGACGGGGCGGGGGGAAAGGCTGAGGGGGGCTTTTCCCCCCTTGCAGGAGTGATGGTAAATGCAGAATCCGTCCCAAAAAGCAAGAGGAAAGCTGTGTTGGTGTCTGGGGGAGGTGGGAAGGGTGAGGGTCCTCCCTGCCGCGGTGCAGCGGCTCCGGAGCCCCGTCCCCACGTGGGCACCGTCGGCTGTGCCGGCGAACCTCCTCCCCGGGCCGTGTGTCGTCACATCTGGGTGTCACATCTGGGTGTCACAGCCGGGTTTGCTCTTGCACATGGGGATGTTGCTGGGGGTGGGGGATGAGGGTGACCGTGCGGCCATCGCAGCTGCTCAGCGTTTCCTGCATGGCCTTAATTTCGCCCTGTTTATAGTAAGGAATGAACGTCCGTCCTTCCTTCCTTCAGCCCGTGCTGCGCTGCCTGAACCCGCGTCTGAAGTTGAAGGTCCCTCCCGGCAATGC